GTCACCGAGTGTTTAGTATAGATGTTGGGGAATTGGTCCAAAAGTTCTTTATGAAAGCGTAGAGTTTATCCATTCCCCAAAAAATAGCAATAAGAAGAAGGTGGGAAAAAAACCAATTTTGTGGAAATTGAAAAGGGGCGATGTCGGAGAGTCGGAAAGTCAGGTTCATGGAAAGATCGTACCTAGTGATTTGACTAACAAAATAGTTGTCTAAATTACTAAATGAATACCAACAAATAACCAAGTCGCCTTCTCAACACTCAACGTTCAGAATCAGAAATGAAAACGTCAATTGTATATATAGTACAATGAAGAAATCTTTAATGACCTTCATCACTACTTTCTTTCTTTTTTCGGGTTCCACGATTCTTTCCTCTCTTTTTAAATCTAAATGAACATATTTTTTTCGAATCGGTCGTTTCAATATTTTCACTGTCCGCCATTTTGAGAAAGAAGCCTAATATTTTTATAAAACCGTGTGTGATTGGTCGAAACGACTAGAATCTAGAAAAACTAGCCAATGAAACTGACTTTGAATCAACTTTTCCATACGTACTTGATTAGTTAAAACGGCCCCTTACAAGTGAAATGGAACCGGAAAATGTCGAGTTCTCTTGTGGCATCGTTCTTCCGGCTGGTGGATGTGGCTTGCGAATGAAATCTCCTATTCCTAAACAATATAAATATGTAGCAGATAAGCCTTTGATTTTCTACACATTGTATGCTTTTCAGAGGTAAAAATTTCCTCTTTCGGTATAATTTCATCATCAAATGTTGCACTTGATTTGCAGTGTTTTTATTACTTTTCACTACCGAATAAAAGTACATAATAACTGCACTAATTCTCAAATGTTTAACATTTCAGATTATTTTGGGTCGAATTTATAATAGTGGTTGTTGGAGAATGTTATTTTGAGTGGATGAAGAATTTTAGCAAAGAGCATGGTTTTGATAAAGTTACAGTGGTTATTGGCGGGGAAACAAGGCACCGTTCCATTTTTAATGGTATTAAGGAGATTCCAAAAGGTTTGTAATTTAAAGATTTTTTCCTTCACGTCAATTAAGTCCTTGTTTCCAAAATTATTAATTCATTCATTTTTCTATGTTATACTCATGTGTATATTTATCTATTATCCATTATTCATATTATCTGGTTATGTGAAATAATAAATTTTATTTTTCTTATGCATTCAGTTTGTAAAAAACCAGATATAATTTTGATACATGATGCTGTTAGAATAGTGGCAGAAGAAGAATTGGTCAGAAAAATAGCAGTATCAGCCAAAACATATGGGGTAATAAAAGTTATTTTGGAGCCAGTATTCACTGTATAGATTTTGTTAAAAAGACTCTAAAACCTAATTTTTACCAGCCTTCATTATCCCACACGGTGTAGGAACCGTAAAACTCAATTCTTTTGTTATAAAACCTTATTTATCATCATTGAGATAGCAATTAGACCAAAATTCATGGTTGGATTCAATCATAATGTTTAAAATAGTAGGCCTAGATCACGTCTGTCTGTTTGATCACCTAGTACAAAGATTCTAAAGAGGTCAACTTTCTTAATCTTGTTAATATTTTTTATGTGTTTTACAGGCTGCTGGAGTGACACGCCCTCTGATTTCTACTGTAATAGCTGTGGACTCAAATCAGTTTTTAGCTGAGTCATTAGATAGAAGTTTATATAGAGCTAGTGAAATGCCACAAGGGTTTAGATACAGTGTTATTAAACAAGCATACGAACAAGTAAGTGAGGCAATGTGTAAGACTGAATGACTTGCAAAAATGATTCTTAGTAATTACTTACCAACATCTTCTTCATTGTGGTGCCGGCCTCCAGAGGATGGGGTACAATAAGGGTCAACTGTCGGATCAATGTGGTAGTTGGGTGGAAGCACATAGCCATGGAGGGTCTGAGAGGGTACCTCCATTGAAAATTTCTGCAAAAATAGATTTGATTTGGTTCAATCTGAAATATATTTTTGGGCAAAAGCTCATAAATATCCTGAGGGTACAAAATATGATTTTCTATCAAATATCAATGCTGTAGCCCAACTGGTGCTGCCAATCATCACCTATCTGTATCACTTTTCAGAATTGAAATATGATTTTCTATTTTCAACAATAAAAAAACAGCATATAGGTTTATTATTGATATTATCCAACAAGGTTTTTATAAAAAGGAACAGATGAGTTTAAAGACCAGCAGATCCTTGTAAATTGTTTTTCTCTGTCTAATTTTAGTGTACAGAAGAAGACTTTTTATATGGAACAGAATGTTTGTTGTTAGCTATGAAATATTCCAATGTAAAAGCACATATTATAGAGGGCAACTCCAGTTTGTGGAAGGTATGGTATGCTGAAATATCTTTGTGCATTCAGTTGGAAGTTGTGATTTGGAAATTCGACTTTTGTTTACTTTCTGAACAGTTTTCTGTGTTTGTTGTTGTTTACTGATTTAGACAATCAGTCTATTGAAACTAAATAGGATTGAACTCCAATGTTCATTCAGATTTTCCAAACCCAACAACTTGATAAAGTTGGTAGTCCTACTACCTACTACAGATGAAAAATCAATACTGTTTGCTAAAGTTGATAATCTTCAACGTGCACCATTTAAAAATCAGACAGGTTGAAGAATTTCCATAATGTCAAGTTATGTTGTTACTCTTATTATTTTAGGTAACTCTGAAAAAAGATCTGTACACTGCTGAAGGTGTATTAAAAGGTAAACATGTATATTTTCTTGAACAGATTAAGATTGTAAGATTGAATTGGCTTGTCAAATTCCTGTGACTTGTAATATCCATTCTTTTGTCCTGATTGAGTTATAAATAAGAGATACCAATGTTTTTCATCTTTGTGATTATAATTATTTATTCAATTTGAGATATCCTCTCACTCAATTTGTCATATTTCTAGGGGAAAAAAGGGTGTAAATTTGTCCTCTGTAAACACTATTTTGAAGACATTATATGTGCTCATGTTTATAATTTTTTCAAGGCAAAGACATTCTAAGACTAACATTAACAGTACTATTTTGAGGCTGCTATTCCAATTCTCATAAAAATCATGGAAAAAGTTCTAAAAACATTTTATTTTTCTCAGAAATTAAGCATAATGTTAATCTATTTCAGAAAAATACAGTATGACACAATTAGTAAATTTACCTGAAAATTCTGACTTGTCTTCCATATTTCAAGAAGAATTTAGTAAGAAAAATCTCCAGGTACTTGAAAGAATACTACCTCTTAGAATGAATATGAAATTTCAAGTCTTGGTCAACAATTATATATATTCATCGGTTGGACTTACTAGATGTCATGACTAAAGAATGGAATCTCTATATGGTCTATTAAACTAAATAATTATTGAAACATCAATAAGTATGTTGCAAACTTACATAGTTTAAATGAACCATTAATCAGTTTTAAGAATTTATAATATGATAGAGGGATTCTTTTGTTTAGTTTTGACACCAAGGTCACTGATGAAATAATGAAATGATGAACAAAGACTCATTTTAACCAAAAATTTAAACTTTCAATTTTTTGGTCATCCTAAGAGGTAGCATAACTTTAAGCATAAAATATCTTTCATATTTCAGGATTCCTAAAGTTAAATAAGAATCTTAGCTCTTAACACTATAATAAGTTCACAATTTGTATGGGATACAATATTTTTCATCTATTTCATAAGATCTAAACTTATGTTAAGGACAGATGTTTTGGATGTCAATTTCATGATCCAAGACAATTGGTTTGGATAGATAGAGAGTTCATATGTCAATATTTTTTCTTAAAGATATGATTAAAGTAAAAGAATTTATTGAACATGATAACTTCCTGAATGTATTATTCAGACAAAATATCAAAATTTCTACTTTCCAAAAAAAATAACCTTATCCTAAAATTTTGAATTCTTTGCAGTTTTCTACAGTGCAAATGATATCAGCGACATTACCTAGTTCTCCAAACTCCTTATTTCAAAATGTGATAGAATTTATCAATGTAACTAACATTCAAACTAGAATTCCACAATCACTAGCTGAATATAAAGACCAAAACATCAGGAAACCAATGAAAACAGCACATGTTTATGTTATATTATTGGACAATAGGGAAGATGTTGTGACTAATCTAAACAGTGTACATATGTTATTTGAAGAGCATTTGGGAAAGGTGAAGAATATAGTTATTTGTAATGTTATATTATCTGTTAAAAATAAGGTAAGTGGAAAATTCTCAGGAAATATGCTATAATTGTTTTTTGTTGTAATAAGATTTTGTGCATGACTATAAGGTTAGCAGGAATAGTACTGGTATCAGAGCAGTTGGAAAGTTGATAGCAATAAAATATTAATTGAACTTTCATAACATTACAAAAATGGCTGTACAGGCAGATTTACATACCATATTGTTATTAGTAATGATGTTATTGTCAGTAAAAGGTTGCTTGAAAATAAATGGACACAGTTATAGGCATGTAACATTACATAATATGGATAACTCCAGCTATTGACAGTATGGAAATCCAAAGAATGATGTCTTCACGACAAAATGTGTATTTTTGTGTTCAATGGGAGAAAAAGTTTATTATTGCTACAGTTACGCTTAACAATCCCACACAATCACAGTAATAGTTATTTTTAGAATCTGAAACAGTTCAAGACTATTCATGTTATTTTTATTTCAGTTGGAAGAGAAACTTGTTCAAATGTGTACTGATATTATTTGGAACAGAAATGAATCTTTTCATGGTCAAATATTTACAATATATTAGTGGTCAGATATTAACCAGTGTAATTTTAATTTTGTCATCTATAAATTTTTTGTATTTTTTATATCTATTATACAATTATACTATAATATTATCTTTATATATTTTCGTTATATTTTTTGGAAAAGAATCTCCAGATATTAACTATTGTTGTGTATTATTTAAATGAAATGAAATTCAGACTAATAACAGTAGTAAAATAATACATTATCATTCTATAAAACAGAATCTATATAAATATTCTCACTTCTAGAGAATGGGATATCCTTACAGTTTAGGCAACTAACCAATCACAAGTGCTTACTTGCCTGTGATCAATATGTTTCCCCGTGTTTCGGGTATCATTTTTTGCATTTCTTATCATTGGTACTTGATTTGTTTATTCAACATCACACACCCTTCTCCCAATCAAAGGCTGAATACTAGAAAATCATAGTGCAGCAAATAAATTCAATTTTCTTGGGAGAACCATATCAGTGCTCCACGAGAGGCTTAAGAATTAAAAGCTTTCACAGACTTGCTGCATTCTGAAATCAGTCTGGACAGTTGTTTCATCCCATAGAGACTATCTTTCTACTATTTGTACCCATGGCAGCTACAACTGGGTTAAAGCATTAACATTCTGTAGTGTCATCTTGTTCTTGTTCTTCTTTCATTGGCATTAATTCCCTTTCCTGTTCAAACCATGGACTTGAGTATTTAACCCTGGAACAGTGGTACGCGTCTAGAAAGCCAATTCATATATAGCCCGAAACATCTGTCTATTCCAGCCTCTGATGGATATTTTGACTGTTGTCAGCTGGAGTAAAGTCAGAAGAAAAAAGCTCTGTTAAATGGGGATTTTCTACACCCCCAGAGATGCGTTTTTTTCTAATATAATATTAAATTGCCTTTACAATGACTAAAAAAAAATTTTGGCCATTACCGTAACTTTCATTTTATTAGAATCACATGAGTATGTGACTTATGAAACTTTGCACAACTGGCCGCTGCGAGATCAGTTTTGTTAAAATATACTTCATGGACCTGGAGACTTGACATAGATGGTGAATGGGAGAAAATAATGGTATGATTGAACTTAAAAGTATTCATTTCTACGTTTTGCAGGTCCGAGGTAGGTTTAGAACACCCTCTGCTGAGATGCGGAATGTCCCATTTAACAGGGCCTATGTTTTTCTGTCTCTGCACTAGCCGACATCTGTCCACCTAGCTATTAGAATCTCGAATAGAGACAGATGAATCTAGCTTACCCGTTGCTGGCTGAATGAACCAAGATCGTAGATACGAGTTGCTCCCCTTTTCTCCTCGCATAAAATCTATTGTGCTTATATACGAATGAAAGAGGAGACGTTTGGTTAACTCCAGTGGACACAACAAATTGTGTCCGTTTTAAAAATTATATAAGCGATATTGGGGCCCACTCGTAAATTTCAACATGTGTGTCAAAGTTTCAACAAATTGTAATTCTAGCTCAATGGTCACCGCTTGGTGGCGCGCCCCTATATTGTATTAGTATTTATTGTTTCCAATAAAATAAAAACAATTGAGTCCATATCTGTTGATATTATATGTCAAATGAAACCCTTCCCCTCGGGTTTTTATGAAAGGTAATACCCCTTTCCCTTGGCAAAAAATCATAAAAACCCAAGGGGGAGTGTTATAACCAATAGATAGAGCACTTGTGTTTATTTTATGGATAACTCTTGATTTACGATTATGTACGGTCAACAGAAAATGTTTCACGTATTATCAATAGTTAACAGTTGATCAAACATCATATAATACCTCATTGAACATGTGAACACCTTCTGTAATTCTATGTCTGCACTTGATAAGGCCAATGATGCAAAAAAACGACATTCTGTGTGTAAATGAGTAAAAGATGCATTAGTGGCATTTTTCCGAATTTAATTAAACTTTCAAGGGATTCTGTATCGTGAACAAAGCACGTAGCCCAAACTAAACAACTATACTGTGTGGAATTATCACGTAAGCATTTCCGACATGTTACACTATGGGCGTTTCTGTGTGGGTACTATAGGAGAACACCTCACCTGCCGACATAACACATGCCTGAATCTGGCCACCACTTTCATGTTTTTTATCATTGAGTTCTTAGATGTAAGGAATTGATAGCCCCCTTAAACGTCTTAGACCCCTACTCTGTCCACCTAATGATTCATTACAAAATCACTGACCATCTCAACATATGGTGAACCCATTGATGACAAAATATACAGGGTGTGCAAATATTATGCTCTATCTGGAAAAATATATTATTGTGATGGAGCGCTTTTTGAAATTTAAATATAAGATCGAAACCACTGTTCGTTACCGGAAAAACTTTCATTCATTCTGGTCTAGACAACAATAAAGGGCGGCAAGAAATTTTAATTCAGTAAAAGCTTTGAAAATACATTGTTTTCCTTCGTTAAATCAGTGGTTATTGTCAGTTTAAAACTTTAAAAGCGGAAAATGTGTGAAATTGATGTATTCCAGCAAAAGAGCACTTTATTCATTTTACCTTACACATTGGAAAACAAACATCAATCATGTGATTTATACACTTGTATTTTGCCCCGAAGTCTTAACAGCTAGATAGTTTCCAACAGTAACTCAATAATGAACAAAAATATAAAACCGTTATCGATTTGGGTTATACGGAGCCCCTAAGGCGCAATTGTAAACATATTTATTTATTATTTCGTTTAAACGAAATAATTATTTCGTTTAAACGAAATAATTAATTCGTTTAAACGAAATAACATCATTTATTTCGTTTAAACGAAATAATAAATAAATATGTTTACAATTTCGGGCAGACGACCAGATCTCATTTTTCCCGGAAAAATTGGTCGCAACTCAGTAGGCTACTAAATCTGGCAATTTTACCTAAACCCATCTACCACGAGTTTGCATATGGTCGTCTAAAAACATTAAAGGAATATACTTCTTATATAATAGCAAACCATCAGAATATAAGATTTATTACAATGTTATCAAATTCTGCTTTATCT